CACAACAGTGAGCATGCAGCTGCGGCATAGAGGCAGCATCACAGGGCATGTGGCCAAGGGCATTGTCTAGATTGGCAAAATTAAAATGCAGCTAGGTGGTCCCCTCAAATCCCTAGTTCTAGGGATCCTATCCAGAGGCCCCTCACATGCACTAGGCAAGCTGTCCAAAGACTGTCAAAATTCAAATGGAAGAAAAAGGTTAGTGTCTGTCTATGCCTGGGGAAACTACCCACACTGGAAATCTGGGTGGGATGCAGATCTATGGCATCTCCAGTCCTCTTCTCTGTCCAGCACTGGGAGGGCAGGTGAAGAAAAGAGAATAGTACTCAAGGGTAGAAAAGGCTGCGTTCCTCTGCAGTTGCACAGATGAGCAAGCAGCAGGGACTCTGCCACACAGGGCTTGTCTGCTCCATGAGGGTATTTTTTTTTTTCAGATGCTCCTCCCAGCCAGGGGCCGTGGAATGTCTGTGCTGGTGAAACTTCTGAGCCAAGGTGTCAAGGTGAGATCAACTAACTTGTAAGTGGAGATTTTTTTTTTTTAATACAGCAAGCCAATTAAGGAGACAGGCTAAAGTCTTAGGAGAATACCAGCAATGGGTATGCAGCATGGGCTGAGAATTCCCATGACTAAAGTGAGGATGCAAACCTCTCTTGTCGTGGAACTGGATAAAAATACAACTTAGAAAGACACAGAACTAGCAAAACAGAGATGCTGAGTCACTTCTGCGAATCTGTGTGGGGAGGCTAGAGAGTGGTGACTGCAAATCTTGCTTTTTCTTGCCCTGGAGTTGTAACCCTAGTTCAACCCATCATCCAGTCTTTCCAGTCAGGCAACCTCAGCCTTCTCTACAGTATCCCCTACACCCCTGTTTTCCTGTTTACTTGCTATGGTCAATTTCTGTTATAGCTTCTCAATTCTGGCTCTGAAACAACATGTACCTACCGAGCTACATCCCTGTTCCTAATTTAACCCAGTATTATTTTTATGTTATTACTCTATTTTTTTGACTAGGCAACACAATTATTTGGTCCAAAATGCAAAACCTGCAGAAGGGGACATATCGAAAGCCTCTGGGAGTAACTGACACAGCTAATGTCTCCAGCAGCATCGCAAGAAAAGACTTGCATGCTGATCCCTCTCTTTTCCTTCTGCATCAGCGTCTCGTTGTATCTCACAATCTAGGATACACTTTGGCACGGTGCCTTTTCACTTAACAACACACACCAAGGATCGTGCCAAATTGCTATAGGAGAGCTTTCTCTTTAAAGACTACAGATGGTCTATATTGGGCACAAGCAGTACCCCTCCCCCGCGCTCCACAAAGGGCTAGACAGTAAATATTTCAGGCTTTGGGGTCCATATGGTCTCTGTTCCATATGCTCCTGCTTCCCTTTTTCACAAAAACATTTTTGAAATATACAAACCATTCTAGCCCTTTGGGTCATATAGACGCAGGCGACAGGCCAAATTGGCCTACGGACTCCAACACAATAATCCCTAGGCGTCTGTGTTCTTTTTATTTTTTGATTTTATTGAGCTATACATTTTTCTCTGCTCCCCTCCACTTACACCCTCTCCCATGGTCCCTCTGCTCCCAATTTACTCAGGAGATCTTGTCTTTTTCTACTTCCCATGTAGATTAGATCCATGTAAGTCTCTCTTAGGGTCCTCATTGTTTTCTAGGTTCTCTGGGATTGTGAATTGTAGCCTGGTTTTCTTTGCTTTATGTCTCAAAAGTACATATGATATTTGTCTTTTGTGGTCTGGGTTACTTCATTCAATATGATGTTTTCCAGATCCATCCATTTGCCTGCAAATTTCAAGATGTCGTTATATTTTTCTGCTGTGTATTGCTCCATTGTGTAAATGTACCACATTTTCCTTATCCATTCTTCAATCGAGGGGCATTTAGGTTGTTTCCAGGTTCTGGCTATGACAAACAATGCTGCTATGAACATAGTTGAGCACATGTCCTTGTGGTATGATTGAGCATCCTTTGGGTATATACCCCAAAGTGGTATTGCTGGGTCTAGCTTTTTTTGTGTCTGGTCTTTTTCTATTATACCATTCCCCGTATTTTTGTGGTACCAGAGATGGAACCCAGGACCTTGTGCATCCTTGGCAAATGCTCTGCTACCAACCCACATCTTCAGCCACCTGTTCTTTCTTGAACAAGATGAGCTATCTTCCTGAAAAACATCCAAAGGTTCCATTGCTCCCTAAACCCTTCAAGGTTCCTCACTCCCGAGAACTGGACCGAATATACAGCATGTTTCATGATGGGCACTTATCTCTTCCCCTAGGTCTACTGCACTGACCCAAGCACCAGCAATCGTTTCCCTCCATCAAACCCCTAGGGACCTCTCTGTCTCACTATTGCTTTAAATACAGTCTAGATGCAGTTTCAGGGGCATTCCGGCAGGGCCAGTCACATCTGGGATGCCCAGTGGCTTGGTTCTGCCCAAGAAGAACCAACATCCCATTGTCTGAAGGCTAGCTGCCCTGTTGCTGTCTCCAAACAAGGGGAACTCATTTTTTTTTTGCCTCATGGTGCCATGCCTTTGACAGGCTCCTTCCACAGGTCCACACTCAGTTTGAGGGACACCTCTTCAGCAAGGTGTTCCAGGGGCCACTGCACTCCCCTTTACCACCACCTTCCCTGGCTCTCTGTATCCCTGTGGCTATTAGTCTCAGCCCTGCTGGAACATGTGGCATTGTCTGACCCAGATGAACACAGAGAGCCTTCTGATCTGATGGATGGGTGAAAGACCTCAAGCTAGATTACCCTTTCTGGCTTATCTCTCCTTAGCTTGGTTTCTAGTCTCCCATCCTACCATCTGGTACAGCAATCATCAAACATGAGTTTTCAGACACCTGCACTGGTCGCCATTCCATTTCTTTCCTCTCAGAGAGACAACTTCCTCCCATTCATCAACGCCCAGCTAACATATTACATGTCCTACAGTTTTCATATCTTTCCCAGGTAAGATCAATTTCTTTTATGGCAGGCTTCTAGAGCACTGTGCACAGAGACCTCCATGATCACTCTGGAACATTATTAACCACCCAACATTTGTTGGCTGACTTAAATATATCTTGTGTATCCATATACAACCGTTTTCACGTTTATCTATAAGGAATCCTTAAAGGAAGGGTGAATGCTGTTTAAGCAGCAAGTTTGGGCATCCGATGTAAGTAGACAGCATGGGGTTCAGTGCCAAGGGCTCATTTAGCTCTCACAATAGCACCAGTGAGGCAGTATTTTCAGGACCTGTGCTTTAAGAAGGAGGAGGAGGAGGAAGAGGAGGAGGAGCAGGAGGAGGAGGAGGAGGAAGGGAGTGCACAGTCAGGTTGGCAACTTGCCTCATGGCTTTGAAATGCATCAGCAGGTCACCCTGGAGTCAGCGACAGCAATGACTTTTTGAGAGCTGGACTGCTCTCCAGTCGAGCCAGCACAGCATGCAAATCTGTGCCATCTCCCTGCACTGAGACCTGGGGCAGCACCATGGACAGAGGTCAGCAAGTCCTTCACTCCCTTGCAGCAAGGTCCTCCCTTGAAAGGGACACAGATGTCCCTCAGCCAGCCAGATGGAGTGGCGTGGCGATAAGGCATTCCTCTGCACACCTGTGACCGTGCCAGCCCCAAGGGCAGCCAGATGTCCTTGGGGCTTGCCCCCTGCCACCACATGCTGCTCATCCATGTGGACAGAAGTCACTCTGCCAGATCACTGCTGAGCTGACTTGGTGGCAGCCCAGGGCTCTGGGCAGGAGGGCGAGAAGCTGGAAGGCAGAGGATACAAGGGCAGGCAGAGCTGGGCTCTCTTCAGATAAACAGAGAGACTCTCCTTCTAAATTGCTCTTAGAGATCAGGGCAACGGGTGAGAAGTAACATTTCTCCCCACCCCCCCCAGAGGGCAGATTGCCCCTGTTGCAGAGCTTTGATGGAGGGTACCTGATGAGATGCAAAACTGGGGCCCCTTGCTTTTGAAGTTCCGATTTATTGGATCAGGACAAGCCTCAAGTATCTAGTAAGCACCACATGATTCTGCCCACTGTGTGAACAGCCCTGGCCTACAGGCAGACCAGGCAATGCATTTAGACAAACCTGAGACAGGGTCTCAGCCCACGCCTCACAACTAGGTCACCCAGTTAATCATCTCACCCAGCTCGGCCTCTCCAGCTGCACCGGTGGCTGTACCATCAGCTGGAAGGTATGAGGATGGACATTCTTATTTATTTATTTATTTATTTATTTATTTATTTATTTATTTATTAAAGATTTCTGTCTCTTCCCCCCGCTGCCTCCCATTTCCCTCCCCCTCCCCCAATCAAGTCCCCCTCCCTCGTCAGCCCAAAGAGCAATCAGGGTTCCCTGCCCTGTGGGAAGTCCAAGGACCACCCACCTCCATCCAGGTCTAGTAAGGTGAGCATCCACGAAACTGCCTAGGCTCCCACAAAACCAATAGGTACAGTAGGATCAAAAACCCATTGCCATTGTTCTTGAGGTCTCAGTAGTCCTCATTGTCCACTATGTTCAGTGAGACCGGTTTTAACCCGAGGATGTACATTCTTAAAGCTCCTAGCACCACGTGTAGGCAAGTTGTAGGTGTTGGATAAATGCTAGGTATCATTAATTACTTCTAGGAGGACCGGTTCATTGGTTGTGGTTGAGCAGTGGGTGGGGCCAAAGAGAATTACTTTCAACCATTGAGGTAAGAGGTCTTCAGGGAGGAGCGAAGACTGTGAGCTTTAGCACTGCCTTTGAAGACACAGTCATCAAGCTTGGTCATATATTAGCCTGTGCCTCTTCATCCCCAGCCTCAGATATACTTGCCCTTCCCCTCGCCCATAGACCGTTTGCATGCTTGTTCAATGCACACAGAGTTCCCCCACGTGAGGCCCTAGGAAGGACACACATACACGAATCAACTCCTTGGTGGCCACACAGCCGGGAGCTGGGCCACCAAGCAGCCTGCGCTGCCATGCTCAGGCGTCATACCGGGGCATCTGTGGCTTCGATGCTGTGGGAGAGGTTTCCGTTCTGCACGGGTTCCGAAGCTTCGCTCGATGGTGTCATCTCCACCTCTGTGCTTGTGCTGCTGGGAAGTTCGATCTTTTCTGTGGCATAAATTTAAACACAAGGAGAACGAGGAGAACGATCAGAACCAATGGGCCAAAGGGGTCGTGTTGGAAGGAATGTTCTAAAACGTTGACAACGCTGATGGAAGGGGAGGAGGCATCTGAGACCCGCGCTGGTGTTGGACACCAGTAAAGGGTTTCACCGTTTGCCTTAAGCTCTGGTTTCCACCACACACGACTCCACTGGAGATCCCATCAGCTGCCATATGTGACAGGCTATGCAAGGACATGAATACATATCTTTGACATTTAGATGCAGACTGTGAGATAGCTGGATCCCTAGTGCGACAACACATTCCGCCCCAGAAGGGATACTGGTCACGGTACCATAGCCTAGGCATCTCCGGGAGGCCTCCTTTCCTCTGGTCTGGGACATCTCCCCTGTGAACTGAATGGCTCTTTGTGGCTGATGGCTAGGCGGGCACTGCTTTCAGCTCTATTACTCTCAGTCCCCACGCTACAAAACTGCTAGTGCCAGGAGGGGGAGGAGGGGGCACTGGGAAGGAGGACTTGGCCACCTGTCTCTTTTTACAATCCTGAGAACACTCACAGCACATTCTGCACTGGGTGTCCTGTTCCGAGAAAAGCAAGGGGGAGCTGAGACAAGCAACAAGGTTCAAGTCTGTGATGACTGTGACGAGAGAGAGAGAGAGAGAGAGAGAGAGAGAGAGAGAGAGAGAGAGAGAGAGAGAGAGAGAGAG